CTCTGCCTACGACCTATGGCCTATGACCTATGCAGTCCCTGAAGTAGCTATAGGACCCAACCCCTGAGCTACAGAGGATAGCCATACTGTGGCCCTAAACAGTTGCTGATCTAAAGTGCTGGCTGTTCTTCCCATCAGCTAAGCTCACTCACAAGCAAAGAAAGCGCAGACACACTCCAAATCACTTTCATCGAGGGCATAGACCAATGGTGCATCTAACCTCTCCAACCTCTCACACTCTGAAATGCAAGGTTGGACCTCACGACAAAGGTGCCATGGGCCCAATCCCCCAAGATCAGCTAGCTACAAGGACATTGAAAAGCAAAAACAATTCCATCCTGGCCTGTCTTCCTCTGGGTGGCCACGCCACTGTCTTTTTGACCACAGGGAACAAAACAGCCCAGCGGGTACATATTCCATTTCAAGAGAAACTGTGAAGCTACCAGGCACTGAAGGGAAAATATAATTGTGTCTCGCCTATATTCGATTGTTTGCCTATGTTGGGGTATTTTCCAAACACCTGGGTGACTAGGCTGCCCATTTTAATATTTCTACCACAAACACAATTCTGAATAGTATCCAAGTTTCCATTTTTAATGACACCCTCTGCTTTTGAGGGTGAGGTTTCCTGAGAAACCTTAAAGGCCTGAACTAGGGTGAGCTCTAGAAATGTAAAATAGGTGTCAGGAAATGCCTGCCCCAGCCAGGAGCTCCCTTCTACACATTTTAGTTCAGGACCTTTTAAACTTAGAGAAGGGCTCAAGATGTGACACTCAAAGACCAGCTAGTCCAGCACAGTTTTACCGAAGGAAGACTGGTCTCTACCCTGCTTAACTGCATCTAATAGGAGCCCAGTCCCAGTGACCCACAGCCTGTCCCCAAGGTCAACTGAAGGCTTGGAGGGCAGGCTGGTGACCCTGTTCCCTTCCTGCACAGATGAAGAGGCAGCTCAGAGAGGTAAAGTCACCAGTCTCAGGAAACCTAGCTGGGATCCAAGGCAAACAGGGGCTCCTGGCTCTACGCTTTTGATGTTTTTCTAGTTTTTCTGTTCTTGTGTTAGGCAAGCCATCTACCACTGAACCACCTTTCCAGCCACGGCCTCATAGTTTTCAAGGAAGAATGTACCAGAGGTGATGATGTCCTCAAGAAATATATATATGTATAAAAAAAAAAAAAAAAAAAAAAAAAAAAAAAAAAAAAAAAAAGATGCCATGCAATTTTAAGACTTGAAAGACATCCCCGTATCTTTGAGTATGAGCTCTGGAGCTTAAAAAAGAAAAAAGCCACAAAACCCAATGCTCACTGAATGCATACTGTTTACCAGGCACTGTTCCCAGCACCTGGCAGGGCTTAACTCTTTTATAGGACACCTGGGTGAATTCATCCCAGAACACTCCAAGCTGCTGCTCCCACTGCACTTTCCCAGGGCCCCTCCAAGGTGCCTGTCAGCAACATTATGTAATTCTGACTTGCACAAGTTCTGCCTCGCCCACTAATCTCAGCACTGTGTGCTGAGAGCTGACTCTGCCCCCATGCACCTGGCCCAGGGCCACACCTAGAGGGAATGAATAAATGCTGCAGCGAGCTGCTGCAAATAACAGAGAGGAGGCTCTCCTTCCCTCGCATCCGGCATCCCTGCAAATTCTGCAAAGAGCAGAAAATCCTTCCCACCTGCCACCCCCATCCCGCCACCCCCCAGCCCCGTAACCACTTGCTGATTCACTCCAGCCTTCTCCGGGAGCAAGTATGTTATCTACCCCCCCACCTTCTCCCTCCTTCCTCCACTCCCAATCTGTGATCCTTCCTCCTGCACCAAAATCATGGGAAGGGTCTCCATTGCTCTCCCCCAGGCTCTAAAGGAAACAAAAGAATCCATCTGTAAGACATGCCAAGCACAGGGCCAGCTGTGAACACACAGGGATACAGCTAAGGACAGCTATTATGATCAATTGTCTTGCTTCCCAATTTTAGAAAAACAATCCTTAATGGCCCACAGGGACACAAACCCTTTTCTTCCTGGATGTTAGGCTGGACAAAGTACACAACTGCCACCCTTACGCTCACCTCAGAACATGGAGAGCCTGCTCTCCACACATATCATTTAGTCCTGGTGCTTGGCATCAGAGAAGCAGTGCCAGGGAACAAACCAGACCCTAATAGTTGAGAACAATGAAAAAGTCCACTGTGGATAGTATCAGTTGAGTGGATAGTCAGTTGAATGCAAACAAGACCTCTTTATTCCTAGCCAGGGAACCAAATTCACCTTTGAAGTAATTTAATCTCCTACCTGAGCTCCCCAATTTACAGCACAGAATGGGAGGCCCACTGTATTCCTGTTCCCAGTGACTCAACGGTCACTTCTAAATCGCACACTGCTAAAGACACGTCCTCTGAGTGACTGCTCGGGTGAGTGACACTCTCAGGCCAGCTACAACTTTTAAAAGACAGTTTCTGCTTTTAGAATTGAAGACAGTTCCTCTCTCATACAAATGGCCTTGAAATGGCATCTCTGCAAACCTGAACCTGCTGATGACCCAGGAAGGGGGCAGGTTCAATGGGTGTGGACAGAAGTGACCAGCTGCCAGCTCCAAAGAGTGTCTGTTCATCTCAGAGTTTGTAAGAGGTTCCAGCCAGCATGGTGGTGATGAAGAAGCCTGCCCAAGAGCAGGAGCTCAGAGCTGCAGGTCCTTAGGCAGGCCAGTCTACTGCTTTGAGGCCTGATGCCCACATCTGGAAAAGGAGGCTCCTCCTCCAGCCCCAGTCAGTCCCTTTCTTTCAAATTGCTTTTGCCTCATCTTAAGTCTAACTGCTGCTGAAGGATCAGTCTTTCTGACACTGCCACATCTGTGTCTCCCTAAGAAAGAGCTAGGACTTTGACTATCTTATCCCCAGGGTCTCCTCCTGCAGAGGTGCGACTGTGGGTCCTATTCAGTGAGTAGTTGCTGAGAAGCTTCATGCAGAGTCTCACTGTCCATGATGGGGGGTGCATGGCTGACTAATGAACAAACGACACTCAGCATGTGGCAGAGCTCAGGCAGCCAACAATTCTTGGTCCCAGTTGTTTCGTATCTCTCTACCACCGTGACCTCTTCCCTGGCATATCAACACAGGGCCATATGTCAAGCTCTGGACCCCTGGAAGGCACTCACCCCATACCTCTATCATACCTCCATTCAAGCCCACACTTATAAATCCAGGCTCTAGAAATGTCTTCAAATTAACAAAACCTATCAACTATGCTTTTTTCCCAACTAACTGGAGCTGAGTAGAGCCTTTCCCCCTATGGGTGGGCACATACCTGTTCAAGGCAAACCCCTCCCCCACACACATCTACAGACTGCTTTCTAGGGGGCTCAAAGCTACAGGCTGCTTGCTACTCCCATGAAATGCCCACAAGAGAAAGACACATAAAACACCACTGAGTTTCTTTTAGGGGGCCCTGAGATAGCTCCCTGGGAAGCCAGACCTTGGAGGGTAGGCTGGACCTGGAGCTCCACTTCTTGTTCACCTACACCCTAGTTGAGAGGTAATCAATGGCAAACTACCTCCCCTCCGCACTCCATCTCAGAAGGTGGCAAGGAAAAGCAAATCATCCTCCCAGTCTTTCTTTAGTTTGGGGGCAGACAAACTTGTTTGGTCAAAACCGACCTAATTATAAAGCATTTTTATTCCCAGGCTATTTTGAACAAAATTATATGATGCATGTTTTCATGTGTCAATCAACAGATTGTGGTTCAACATACACTTTGTAAAATCAGTAAGTGCCATATTCTGGAAGGAGGGGTCTTGATTTTGCAACATTGTAGAGGGAAAACTGGAAAGAAAAGTCAGAATGGGGGGAGGTGGGTTTCCGAGAGGAACTTTGGACAAACCCCTAGGCCTCGGTTTCTTCCTAGGCAATGAAAAGGGCCGATGGCCTTTTTGGGGTTGCCATCCTAACTCAGGGAGGGGATCCAAACCATTCAGGAACTGCATTGGGAGGCTAGGCTCACCAACAGAGGTACCCCATCGGTCAGAAGCAGCTGTTGATAAAAGGGCCGAAGCAATTCCAGCTGTCTGTTCAACTTCAATGCGTCCCTAGCCGCATCATCTCCAGGAGGCTTTCCTGAACTTTATTCCTGAAAACTGTGCCATTAACTTACCTGGCGTGGACGCGACAGATCTGTCAGAAGACCCAGGGAGGGAGCCCCTCAGCAGCTGGTTCCAACCCCCAGCCTTTCGGCCTCCACAAACTGGCCCATTGGAGGCACCAAGTCCAGCCACCAGCAGCCGGCAACCCAGCCCCAGCGTTGAGCAGCTAGGACCGCCGCTCCAGCAGAGTCATCCACCCAGGAGCGCAGGACAGGGAGGCAACGTGGATTACCAGCCCGCAACGGGGCAAACAGCGGTGCCCAGGACCTGGGTGGCTCGGAATCCTCAACATGAGCACGCACACGAGCCCACGCTAGCCAATCGGTTCTCCGCAGCTTTTCATTCATTCCCCGGAAAGGCCAGGCTCCCCTCGTCTGGGAGCCTCCATCCCGGATCCCAAAGGGTTCCACTGGGCCAAGTGCGCCACGACCCGCCGCCAGCCACCCACTTCCTCTCCACTGGCACACGCCGCGATCGCCAGCATCTCCCCCATGCGAGGGCCGCCGCCCCACTGCCCGGCTCAGACCTGCCTGGATCAGCTCGCAGCTTTCAAGCTGGCTGGGGACGCGGCGAAGAAACGCCGGCAACTCGGGAGTCACGCCGCCTCCCGAGACCACGGGGATCAGGGACAGGCACAGAAGGAAAAGGTGACAAAAGTTCAGGCCTCTAGGGACTCAGCTGCGCCCTCGTTTCCTCCCAGGCCTGTCCTTACAGTCCCTCCTCGCAGACCCGGGTCCCACCGGCTCGGAGCCTGAACCGATCCCCCGCTCCCTGCGCGCGCCTTCCCGCCCGAGCGGCCGTGCAATCAGAGCTGGGGTCCCGGAGGTGGCTGGATCGGTACCCAGACAGAGTGGGAGATGCCCACCTACCTGTCCCGGGGCGCGCCTGGAAACTTCCCCAAAGTGTGCGGGGGGAGGGGCAGCGAGCAGGGTTAGGGGAATCCGGGTTCCCGGCTCCGCCTGCGGCGCAGTCGCCCCCGGAAACCACCGCTGTGTCTGTCCATGCGTCCACTGTCCATCCGTCCTCCGCCCGCAGTTGCAGGGCTCGCGGGCCCAGGATCGCCCGGGTTTCGACTCCCGGGGCGGTTCTGCGGGACAGACAGCCGGTGCGTGCCGCGCAGCGTGCGTCCTCCGCCCGCCTCCAGCTGTCCACAGCGCCACCACGCCACCGCCCGTCCCCAGTCTCTGAGCTCTGGCCACATTCTCTCGGGCTAGGGAGGGGGCGTGTGAGCCCCGGCGCCGCCACCCGGCAGTCCTCGCCGCGGGGTCCCCAAGAGCGCAGGGCGCCGGGAGCGGTCAGGACCCGCAGCAAAGGGGACGCCTCCCGCCCGGGATAGCTCCGGGCTGGAACAGACTGGGCCGGGGGACGCGGGGCCCAAACCTGCCTGGGCTCAGCGCGCTCGCAAGTTCATTGTCTGCCTGGGCCGCCGCCGCCTGCGCGCCCGGAGCGCCTGCGCCGCCCCGACATCCAGCGCCCAGCCCCGGCCGCCGCCACCGCTGTGGGACCCGAACCCTCCGAGGGTCGCCGGAGCCCGGAGCCAGACCTCCGCCCGCCGCTTCTTGCCGCCCAGACCTCGGCACCTGGCACCCAACTTGTACCTGAAAAGCCAAGACCAGCTCAGAAGCCTCCGCAGCTCCGACTCCGCGGGAGCGCGCGCACAGCTCGGCGCTGGAGCCCCGCGTCCAGGGCGCGTCAACCTGACTCCCCGAGCGCTGGGAGGAAAAGTTTGGGAGTGACGTGCAGATGGCGAATGAAACATCCGAGCAGAACCCTCCCCCCCGCCCCATGTCGCGCTGACACACATCAGCTCAAGCCCGGAATGCAAGATCAAGGCGTGCGCGCTGAGCGGTGGGTTTGGACCCCGCCCCCTGCCCTCCCAAGTAAACACAGTTTGTGAGATGCAGTGATTCTGAAAAGGCAAACCGAAATCAAGTAAGTCTGGCAGTGACCCCCTGCCAGAGACATTTTTAAGGAACTTGGCGCCTTGGAGACATCCCATACATTGATATTCAAGGCCACGGAGCTGGTAGGTTCGGCGCCCTCTGTTGTATTTTTGCATCCAGCGAAGGCTGCCTGACTCCTGGCCCTGTAGGTTTGCTTGTTCTGGGAGGCAAGGCTCTGCAGGACCCTGAGCGTCACTGTCTGCCGCAGTGGCCCGCGGGGACTGCTCCAGGGAGACACCTGGACAACCCTTGAGCAAGGAAGGAGTCCAGTGGTCAACGCCTAGGCCAGGAGCCGAAGATGCTATCCGTTAACGTAAAGACAGCTTACACTCTGAAGAGTTGCTCAGGAGAGCCGTTGGAACTCCAAACTCAGCCTCGGAGACAGGATAAAGCCCCAGTCTTTGTCCTGTTCTTGTTCCCATGGCCAGAGCCCAGCACCCTATTTCTTGAACCTACCAGGAAAGAGCTTTTTAAACGGTAGAGTGCTGGCACAGGCGCTAAGGATGAGTCTAGACAATGGGAGTCTCCCTTTCCCTCTTGCCTGAGGTTCTAGCTCACCCTGCTCCAGCTTTTACCACCCTGAGGTTCTAAACTTCTGTCTCAGCTCCCATGGAAACTGATTCAGAGGTCGCAATCAGAGGATTAATAAGTACAGATGGGAACTCTGGATGACAGGAGTTCTTTAAAATCCTGGATGACAGGGGAGTTCTTTAAAACTGCTGTCTTGTTTTCCTACAAATACTGCCTCTTACATAAAATCAGCAAAGAAAGGTTAGTGAAGCAATGAGCTGGCCCCTCCTGGTCACAGACTGGACTGCTTTTTCCACTTAGACTTTGCTAGGTGATTTGGGGTCTTTTTTTTTTTTTTTAAACAAAACCCTTTTTCTAAAAATACAATGAGCTGGTTTTTGCAGGGTTCACAATTCCCAATAGATAATGATGCCATTTTTCAAGGTCTTACACACATCTTGGCTTTGGAGCTTATTTATTAGCTCCTGAGAAAAGCCTGCCTTTCAGTGAGGTTTATATATGCGAGTAATTGCATTGGGGACACAGTGCAGGTTGCTGTTAAAAAGGGTGAGTTGTGCGGACGCCTGCAAGGAAAGCCCTGGGCCAGGCAGCTGTCAGGCCAGAGTACGCAGCCAGTTTAAGCAAACACAGGGAAGGTTCTTTGGAAGCAGCAAGAAGGAAATCCCCTCTTGTAAGGGTATGTGGAACATGATCCCAGGGCCACACATACAGGCCTTTCCTCTCCCCACAAATGAGTACATGCTATGGGCATGGTGCTGGGCCCACCCAGATGACTTTCAGATTCAGGTGTCAGAAATCACGGCTGACATGGAGCAAATTGTTTTAAAGTAAAATCACGGCTCTGCTTTGCTAGGCCTCCACCAGGGACTCCACAAAGGTATTTATCCACGTGCCTGAGATTAACCAAAGGACTTTTTTTTTCTCCTCTCAACATTAACTTCAAAAAAATTGTTCAAGAATTGCACTTGGGCCTATTCTGGAAAGCTCTGACAGTGCCCAAAGTCCTGTGTGCGTGTGTGTGTGTGTGTGTGTGTGTGTGTGGTGTGTGTGTGTGTGTGTGTGAAGGAAAGAGAGTGTGTGTGTGGAGGGAAGAGGGTGTGGGTGGGAGAGAGGGAGGAAGGGAGGGATGCATGAGAGAGCAGCGTGCTAGCAGGGCATTGGCAACTCATGGGTCAGAAACAAATACAGAAAGTTTAAGAAGACACACATGCCCTCCCTGGCATCTGTTCTTAGGGTTCCATCATCATGGGGTTGTGTTGCCTGGGTTCAAATTCTACTTGTGAGAATTCCACTGAGCAATTGTAGGTAAGTCACCTCCTTCTGAGCTGTTAGTGGTGCATTGACATATTGATCCTACCTCTTTAATCTTCCATGGTAGCCACATTAGTCCATTTTGTGTTACTATAACAAAGCATCTGAGGCTGCCTAGCACTGTAAGGACAAGGGGTTTATTTAACTCATATTTCTGGAGGCTCAAGAGCCTGTTTCTGGTGATGGCTTTTTTTTTTAACTGGCAGCATTCTAGGGTCATGACAAGAGACCCTGTGTCTCCATGTGTCTTCTGATCCATCTCCCTTTTTTTTCATAAAAACCACAAGTATACAATCACGAGGCCTTTAATGTCAAGTTGCCACAAATTAGAATTACCTGAGTAGGGAGCCTTAGCTGAGGAATTGTCCTGATTGCCTTGTTGATCTGAGAAGACCCACCCCAAATGTGGGCAGCATCTTCTGATGGCAGCCCAGATAAAAAGGGGCATGGCAGAAGGGAGGCTACCCCCTGTTCCTTGTTTGACCTGCCCTTTTACCTCTGAGTTGGTTTATCCTGTTGCTGCTGTTGCTGATTCCTTTGCTGACATCAGAGCCAGTGTTTCCAGGCTTCTGAGGACCAGCGGCTCTCCTCCGTGTTTGGGGCACCAGACTCGGACTTCTGAGGCACCCAGTATGGTAGACTGAGCAACTACCACAGCCTTGGCCTCTCCAGTGTGATACAGCAACGGAGGGATTCTTCCCACTCCTCAGCCTCAAGACAGCAACTACTGGGTTCTCAGCCTCTCCAGTGTGATTCAGCTGTTACTACTGTTTCAAAGTAAACTGGTTAATAAAAATGTACGTATATATCCATTCTGTGGGTTCTGATCCCATAGAGAACCCTGGCTAATATGTGAGGCTTCTACCCAGACGACCTTATTTGATTCTACTTACCTCCCAGAGGCCCCACCTCTAAACACTATAGTTACCTTTCTACCCTTTAATACATCACAGTAGGGATTAAATTTCAACACGGGCATACCTGGGAGACACACTGAAGCCACATCCAAACTATAGCAGGGTTCACAGCCACAAGTGTGGATTACTCTTCTCCATGACTTGACTTTGGACTTGCTTTTTTGTGCACAATAAGGGATTAGGGCCCAGAGGCTGGAAATGTGCTTACAAGCTTCCCCTTTCAGGAAGGCTCCGGAATGAACACCCATGAAGCAGACCTGAGTTCAATTTGCAGCCTAGAGCTAAGTCATCCCAGCTGACCTACACACACATAAACAGAGGGAAAATGCTTCTTGTTGTAAACCATTGTTCCATGGCATTGTGGTGGCAGTAGGTGTTTGATCCATTACTTCGGTGGACTGATGTAAATTAGTGACAAATATTTGAAAAAGGCTAAGCATAGTTCTTGAGCTACAGGAATCAAAATAATATTATTAGTAACCATCATTACTGAAAGTTTCGCATGTAACTGCCACGTAATTGTTTGTTAATGAACTAACTAGATGACTGAAACTTGCATAAGGATTTTATAAGGGACTGTCAAGGACATCAGAACATTGTAACAACCCACCATGATATTTATAGTCACATTCATTCGTTCATTCTGCAAACATTCTCTGAGCCCAGCCGTGTGCTATGCACTGAGGCGAATGAGGGTACCACTAAAATGATTGAGAGTCAGTCTCCCCCTAAGGAAAGGGGCCTCCAAAGCCTCACCATGTAACAAGCAGTCTGTGAAGTTCATTCCCATCCTGCGTCATTAGGCCTCCCTAACAGTCAACATCACATTTTCCCCATCCTCAAGGCCAAGAGGTTGATGCTCAAACCAAGCATTTAGGAACAGGCCAAAGGCCTCTCCGGCACCCTTAGTGTATACAGGTGTCCAAGACTCCAAGTTAATAGCAGGTAAACTCACCAGAACTTAGCTCCTGTCACTTTCTGTGCTTCACACATGCCAGGGACTCAGTTAACATGAGGTCCACAATGCACAGACTCTACCTAGTACCATGAAAAGGGGTCTTCCAGGGGGCTCTTGAGGTCATCACAGAGCCTCTCTACTTCATTTTGGCGGCCCTGGCATAAGGTTTCTGCCACCAGTAATGACCTTCCTCCCACCCTGTGACTTTGACAAATTTAGATTGCTCAGTAACCTGAAATGCATTGCAATTTCATAAATTTAGAAATACTCTGGTTAGGCGGATCCCTCCCACAGTAATGCATCCATTAAGTGCACTTTAAGCCAATTTTGGTATGCTAATCCATCACAAATCGACATGAAATTTGGGTTCTTGTGAAAATTTCCTATACCGGATCCAAGCCCTCTACAGGATTTAGGACAGAAACTAAGTGGTTCCTTAAGGCAACAGACTTTACTTGGCATCGAACTTCAGGGAAGAAAGGCCAGGCTAGTTTTAAACAAACATCCACACTCACATGAGAACTGTCTACGCTAACAGAATATCCCAGAGGGGCCTTTTGCTTGTCCTAAAAATGTTGCCAGAGTATTAAGTTTTCAGAACTTTTTTGAAATAATGGAGCCATGTGTGTTACTGCATGCCCAGCCCATAGCTCAGAGCCTGGCACCACACCTGCCCAGTAGGTGCTTGGCAAATGACCCTGTTGGTATCACCTGCTTGAGCAGTGATTTGTCCATCAGCCTTAACTTCCTATGAGTTTCCTTCTAAAAAATCAAATTTCCCATCAGTCTCTTTTAAGGGTGTGACTCTTGGTAGTTTAACCAGGTTTCAGTGAAAGGACTCACACTGAAAGACATTTGGGGACACAAATTTGACTCTATAGTCTTATTGCATATATGATAAAGAACATTAAACGGGATGAGGGACAATAAGGGGAGGTGTGGATAAGAGAAGGGACCTAAATATCAAATTTTATTGAACAAATAAAAATATTGCCAAAAAATCTGTCGAAT